CGCATGTGGGATCATGGGTGTGCACTAGTGAGGAGTCCCATACTAGGACAAAACGACCATCCGGTGCTTCCAGGTTTTCAGTGGTAGTCTAACATTGATCGAATCGTGATCTCAATCACAAAACTCAACAGTCTACATAACCCCAAACTGAATATTGAAAAATTGGTTGAATGAGAAACGAAACATGATTTGGTGAAATAATATACACTATAAAACTCAACAACCTTTATAAATACCTTACACTAATGATAATCATGTGCTCAATGATGCTTACTGTTGAGAGGTGATTAACAGAGTCCTCGTAAGAGCCTTTTATCAGTGGAGTCTAATAATGTCGACTATGAAGCAAGTATCCACTAATGGCGTCAGAAGATACTTGCACAATACTGCGAATAGACTGAAGTTGTAAGTGTAAATCATCGAGTGCCAAATCGGTGGTCTGAAGGTTAGACGCTTGCACAGAAATCTGGAGGTTCTCGGTTCGATACCGCACGTAATCATAGATGTGCACTTTTGAGGAGTCCCGTATTAGGAACAGCAGCTGTCCAGAGTTTTCTACCTTTTAATAATTATCTATCTAAGGTCAGCTCATGATGTAAACTATGGAACTCAACACTCTTCACAAACCTTTTGCATGGATGATAATAATGGGTTATGGAACTAAATCTATGGATTGGTACGGTAACTGACAACAGTTTGCAAACTGGACAATAAACCCAGCAAAATATTCCTTTAATTTGTTTTTTTTTGTGTTATAACTGGAAACCATAATGTCCCTGACAAGCTTATTTCATGTATGGTGTAGTGAAGCTTACTTAATTTGACGAATGCAATGTAGTCTTAAAAGAATATTAGGGGCTTATAAATGAAATGCATAAGATAATTTTAGAAAATGCACACTGTCAGTGATTTAAAGGTATCTTACTGATTTCACTGTTTGTAATTAGTATATTACTGCATTAAATAAAAAAATTCATTCTCAGTATAATCGATGCTAAAATGAATTGAAATCTGGTATTGACTTATAGAAAGCTTTCAGAATTTGATTCTATTAAATAGTTTATTTCAGTTATACTGACAAGTGTTTTATTTACGACTAATAATAACTAGTGCGATGATCATTGGCCCCCTGTTGTTCAGTATTAGTAAACACATCGTCTCTGTACTCATTAAAATACTGATTTGGTTTTAACTATTAAAAACCAGATAGAATAATGATATGAGACCGATTTATCATAATTGCTCATCAGATCAAATCTAACAGACGTCCTACACTCAATTAATCATCCTTCAATTGAATAACGGTCAGAACGAATAAACAATCGATCAAACTCTACACAATTAAAGAAAGCATAACATCTCTTAAAAACTAAATTTATTACCTAAAACGGAAATCAAATTAATTTTAACTAGTGTATAAGATAAAAGTAGTTTCTTAAAATTCTTTCTTTATACATACATACATGTATGAACAAATATGAATTGTCTTTTGTAAATACAATATTGAATCTTAGAGTGATTTTGACAATATCTATTCACGTAATGTACAAGTTTAATCTTTACCAGATTGTATATAGATGTAATACTAAGAAAAGCTTTACTGCCAATATTATTATCTTAACTATTAAATTGTATTCTTACATATAAAAGGCATACATATGTGATATCTATGTAAACGTAATCTACTATGATATTTATAAGCTTAACACAATTGTTTTTTTTTAATGGAAGAAAAATATCTATTTAGTGTTTTACACTTTAACCAACCATCCGTAAATAATTAATGATTAATTTCAATGGTTAAGATCATGAGTCAGTTGAAGATAGACTACCATGGAAAACCTGGAAGCACTCCAAGGCCGTTCCGTCCTATTGTGGGACTCCTCAGCAATACGCATGCACGAACTCGCTACCTGCGAGATTCGAACCCAGGACCTATTGGTTTCGCGCACGAGCACTTAACCACTGAGCCGGCATCCAACGGTGTTAATGTCGAACTTCAACTAACCCATCTGGTATTAATCAACATATTCTCATTAGTGACTGGCTTCAAGAGGTATTTCTTGAAGTTCTAGTGAGAAGTAGTGACCAGTGGAGTTCAACCAGGTCTGTTGTGAGATAGTAACTCACTGAAGACAATGGTGGATGTGTCGCTCAATTTCGTGGATTAGTTGAAGTTAGACATTAACACCGTTAGATGCCGGCTCAGTGGTCAAGTAGTTAAGTGATCGCGTGCGAAACCAGTAGATCCTGGGTTCGAATCTCACAGGGGGCGCGGGCGTGGATGCATACTGCTGAGGGGTCCCATAATAGGACGAAATAGCCGTCCAGTGCTTCCAGGTTTTCCATGGTGGTCTAGCGTCAACTGACTGATGATCTTAACCATTGAAATTACCATAATATCCACAAAACGCATCTGAAATTATTGATTAGTAATTGTTCTTTTTTTCTCTCTCTCAAATATTTAACCCATAATATTTCTTCCAGTTGCGTTGATTGTGAAAATTAGTTCAAAGCTACGATATCAGTAACATGGTCCTCTACAGGCACGACGTTTTTCGGTTCAATAAATGGAGGGTTTGTGGGTAATCATTGATCAAGAATCGTAAACTATAAAGAGATATTTATCCAATACTCTTTAGTTTTCAAAACGTCTCAAGTTATTGTTAGTACGTGATAAGAACTCTCTTCGTAATCTAGCATTTATTCTGAAAGAAGTAATCCCTGGTCATATACTAACTAACAACAAATCCATTTGTATACGTGTATTAATTTAAAGATTATTCTGATTATAGTTTACAGAGTAGTGACCTGAAACTAGTTAATATTAAATAGGTGCTTTAGTATAGTTATGATATCTTTAACAGTATGCATCCAAAAAAGGTAACCATAATTGAATTTTCAGATTGTACAGGAAGTAGAATATTATCTCTCTTAGTAGAAGGTTTGTATACCAACTATGCACATTTAACTCACTTGTACTATCGTTCAAATATATTTATCAATACAAAAAAAAAAGATTGGATTATTGACAATTTACATTAATAAATTAAAATTCATTAATTTAAGTGATCATTAAATGATCGCATTAATTTAACTCAATTTTTGTGGTGTTGTATAAAAGTGTAAAAGGGCGTATACTAAGGTTTATTGAAACCTCAGCCATACGAAAATTCAAACCCCCTTTTGTGTATTCAAAAACAGTTTGTTCATACTTTATCCAGAGTAACGAGGTTTCAAATTGTTTTCACATTATTTCTTTATTATTCTTATCACCTGTTACCTTTCATTTTTAGTCTAGTTGACCTTTTCACTTTTATATGTAAATATTCTTAACAAGTATATGTGCGATCAGATTGTTCGAAATGCATTGCGCTAATATATCATTACATAATTCTGATAATCTTCGTCTTCTTATTACACTATAGAAATTTAACTATACTTAATATTGATTATAAAATCATGTTAAATAATCTGACATCTTTTACTTGTATGAAATGAACTTATTATATATATTTATTAATTAAAATAATGCAAACTAAACGTGTATCAAACATTAAACATTATAATCAAATGGTGGTAATAATTACTAATCATTTATACAATAATAATAAGAGTATATTATAAATTACTAAAAAACCAATGGCCGTTCAATGCTTCCAGGTTTTCAATGATGGTCTAACATCAATCGATTCATGATCTCAACAACTTCATAATCTTTACAACTCCATATTGATAACAACTTAATAAGCTTCGATTTTAAATTATAATTAAGAATGAAAATCTCTATAAATATCACAATATCAGGTTGATGTTAAGTGACTTTGCTTTATATTTCAACCTATGAAATGACATAATTTGGTTCTGTACTTTGATGTATTCATTTTCAAACTGACATATAATGAAGGCGTCATAAATCATAGGATAAGTTAATTAATTTCTAAAATGAAATATATGAAGAAGCAATCATGCTATAAATTATAAAATAACTGTATCACAATGCATTTACTAGGCTACCCATACTTACATATATAAATAAACATATTAATGGGGATTTATATGATCTCATAATCCTACTAGTTTAGTAGGGAACACAATAAAGATTTGCAAAAATATAGCGAACTGGAAAATATTGCAATAATGAAAACGGTGAGAGGTACTCAAGAAAGGACGTCGGAATAAATAGAATAACAAAATAAAACCTAATAAGAAAATAATATATCATGACTGTTTTTGTGGAATAGATAGATTGTAACTAATCTCAATGATGGACCTGTTTCTTTCTTATTAGCATGATGCACTGAAATTCTGCGCTACTCACTTATTCGAAAGTTCCATTTATATATGAATAATACTTCGGTGATATGTACAATCGAATCCTGTTAGTAAACTATGTAGATATCTTAGTTCAGTAAGTTATGCTTCGAGACCATAAAGAAATACACAGAAAAAAAACAGATGTGTAACATGTCACTCCTTTGACTGGTGATATATGGGTATAATGTCAATGAGTTGTTTTTTGCGGTTATTTTAAGCTACATTATATTTCGATAGATAATTAGTTCTAATAATCCTTTATATCGATGATCTATTCATAGATTACTTATATGACCAAGTGAATTAACACCAGAATAATACAACTATTAAACTTTAAAAAAATCTTAAATCTCACTGAGTCACAAGGAACTTAGACTGTAACTTTTAAGAATTCTAATTTATCAAAAAACAAACATCTTTACACTAACTTTCAACCAATTTAAAACGATAAACAAAAGGAAACTATTCCAGTGAATTATGCTTATTTTATTGAAAAACACACAAAAAGAAGACCATTCATAGGTAATATTATTTCGACAATTTACGGATTAAGAATTAACATTTGAAATCAAAATCCTACTTCATTAATCAATTGATCAAAGTAAATATGTTTTTTCTCATTAAGTCATGATCAGTAATTATTTATTCTAGTAAATCTATTCGTTGAAGTATTCATAGTATAATACTGGTCTCCTCCATTCAAACTATACTGGATTTGTCTAATATTATTACTTATGTAGATAAACATATATATCATTTCATCTATACATAGAAATAGTTAATATTATAACATTATAAGCGTATAGTTGGTGTATAAAGGTATAAACAATTACCAAGTTACTTAATAATCACATATCAAATATCAGAAATTGTTGTGATTAATTATTTTACATTTCTATAATCGAAAATTAACGGCCAGTAACTATAGCAATTTTCTCGCATCGTTATGTTCACGAGAAAAGTAACGATTCTTAAATAACTTTCATTTGATAATAATAACAATAATAATCCATGTATATAGTGTTGTGTTCAAGTCTATGCATATTGCTACACTTATGTAGAGGCACACACACACACACGCATAGAACACTACGTACTATCATTCCCGTTACCAGTATCCCATGAATGCACATGTATAGAAAACAAAATGACATACGAAAAAAACAGGATTTTGATTTTGGAAAAATAAAGAACTGAACGCAATAATAAACAGTAACCACAACAGCGATAATAATCAGCGAAAAAAAAACAGAAAACTTTGGATTTGGTGGTTTACTTACAACGTTTTTGAGTTGTTGTTGTTTTTCTTTTTTGCTTCACTGTGAAGCACAAGATACACAGGGTAAGGATGCAGTTTGGATGGAAAATGGAAAGAAAGAAGATGGAACCAGTGAAATAATAATAATGAACATAGAGACAAACTGAAAAAAGGATCAGATTAACCAATTTACCACTATTACTACTACTACTACTACTACCATAACCAAAACATTGTTTCCATTGTGTAAAATAATGTAAACTCTATGTTAGAGCTAGTAATCATCGTTGTCAAACTGATCATTATGAAAAATTAAAAGAAAATGAAAATAATGCTAATAATAATAATGAACAATTGAACAGCCATTAAATTTACAATATTTTCAGTATATTTGTACGTATTCAATAGTCCTTGCTTGTTTTGCATTGTTATCCATTTATGTAATTAATCATAACTGGGGATGAGAATATAACACAATGAAATTGACAATACTAATCTCAAAGTATATTAACAATATTTTTAAAGAGGCAATTTAATTAATAAATGACAATAGTTAGTAGGAAAGTATTTATTATTGTTGTTAAACTAATGAAAAATTGAATGTTAATTTATATTAACCACAATTAACTATATGATTCAGCTAATATAACACAAAAAATGAAATAATAAAAATAATTAAATTCAATTATCATTATGACGCCTAAAGGATACATTCTTCTTCGGGTAAAAGAACAAGCTATAACAGAAGCACTAAGGGTATAAAGACTTAAAGAAGAAAAAAACATAGGTGAAGAGAAGTGAATGGGGACACTGTGACAAATTTAACTGTCTACAAAGCAATGTGTAAAATAAAAGATGAGTATAATATAAAAGGTATTATAATATAATACAATATAATAATGGTGATGGTAGTAGTAATAGTCGACTGATTATCTGTCTATTTATCTATTTAACTAATGTAACTAAGTACTAATAGTAGTAGTGTCATTTGAAGGTCAGAAGTATGAAAGTAAAGACAAGAAGAAGGGGAGTTATACAAAAAAAAAAGTAAGAGATATATAGTGATTTCGTTGATAAAAAATTCTCTCTCATACACTCACACATTCCCTATAGCTCATTCATTATGTTTCACGTTAATATACAACATAACATAGTCGTCAATAGACAAAAAAAGGCGAAAAAAAGAACGCAAGTGAAAAGAATAGACAAGAAGACATTATTATGACTTTTGTATTTAATTATATGTATTATGGTGTACTGAAACTTCATTTTGTCAAATTTTAATAATGATTAATATACATGATTCTGAAATGAAATCTACCGGAGAAAAAAAATACTTAACTCCATTCTACATAGTTTGTGTACATGTTAGGGGAGGTGATGTTTCTGTTTTTGAAATTAAAAGAAAAATAGCTGAGATTATCCAACAACAATGCTATATGCACCTTTATCGTGATTGGCTATTCATGATGCTGATGACGATAGGTGTATTCTCTGATAAGGATATGAATATAGTGTAGGAAGCAAACCACACAAAGAATAATGAATAATATTTATAAAGAAGTACGCAGAAAATGTAACTGAACATTGTACTGCTGAGATATGCTATATATATATAATAGCGAAAGTAAATCTCTGCATGTTTGAATAAATAAACAAAGGAAAAGTAAAAGAACACAATTAAATGAAAGGAAGAATTGAAATGAAAACTGATCCTTTTTTGTTTGCACCTACCTCCCCCACACTCATACACATACACTATCAACATAATCGTAATCACATACCTATCTTCTCTTCACTAGGATTGAATTAGCTAATAACAATAAAATCACCATTTTGAAACAAGTTATAAACTATTGATCGGGAGAAAAATAGACAAACAATGTGATTAAAATCACCAAGGATTGATCGGAATTAAATGTGATGAATTACTGGAAGTCGTAATAGTACCGGTAGTAGTATTGGATGACCTGTTGTTTTTTCTATCATTCAAAGAAGAACCACTTGACACCGATGATAACTGTATAGGATGTGGGAAATGATTTAAAAAGGTTTCAGGCAATCGAAATCCATTTAATAAACTAGCAGCGGCGGCTACATTTATCATATCGGAATGTGCTGGAGGTGGTGGTATTGATGATCCAGAATGAAGGGAAGAATGCTGATGAGGCACATAATTATGAATAGTCGGTGGTCGAGGAAAAGAATTAGGAAAACGCATTGGAAATGGCAAATTATTAATATCCATGCTACTTGAAGCATCAGTTCGTCTTCGTTTTAAATCATTATTATTAAAAACATTTGTTGATGATGAAAAATTCATAAGAGCAGGAGATGAAGGAAGAACAGTTGGTCGAACACTCGTAGTAGTAGTAGTAGCAGAAGAAGAAGAAGAAGAACAGGAGGAAGAAGAAAGGGAATTGAAAGATTGAGTAATTAATGGAAAGTTGAAGCCGGCAATATTTGATGCTGATGGAACTGGTGAACAATTGTTATTATTACTATTGTTAGCCATAGATGACGATGATACTGTTGAATTGAGAAAAGAAAAATCTGTTGATTTCGGGAAAGAACCTCCATTTAATACAGAATTATTCATTTGTGACATTTGAGAATAAAAGTTTTGTAATGTTGCTAGTTGAGTATCTTTACAGTCTGACATACTATTTAGAAATTCCTTTGATAGATTATTCATAAATTCATTAAATAAATGTCCCCAAAATGATATATCAGAGGTTATATTACTAGGAATTGAAGGACCGCTATTATTATTATTATTATTATTATTACTGTTCACTGAATTAATAGGATTATGAAGTTGTGAAGGAAGAAGAGAAGGAGGTCTTAGTGGCGGCGGCTGAGTTGATCGATTGTTATTCACTGATTCAATATTTATTTTACTTGAATTATAATTTACAGGTCCACTAGTCATGGAAGAAGGCATAGGGGAATGTACACCTAGGCTCAAACGTTTAACCATAGGACGAATTGGTAATCTAGATGTTGAAAATATTGAGGATATAACCGGAGATGATTGTAATCCTTGAGTAGATGATTTACAATGTTGGATAAACAGAGCGATACGAACATGTGCGTCAGCCCAACGTCCATAAAGCTTGATTAAGTAAAAATAAGTATAAGAAAACATATGGTATGAAAATTAAGTTAAAATATGTACATTATCATCAAAGAAATAAGAGACAGATATTCTAAATTACACTGTGTGATTACCGCACAGTATTGCGAATCGATTGCATTTGATAATAAGTATACCAATCAATTCCAACATAATTTCTTGCAATAAATAGTAAAATGTTAATTAGTCAGTTAGTCATACACAATACAGAGTTTGGGATATACTTGAATCATTTCAAGTTGCCAAACCATATCCGTAGTACCGGGAGACGTAATTAACAATACAAATACCAGAGTAGAAGTAGTGACAGGATTAGTGGTACTGTACAACATTATGCATAAACAATATCATTCAAAAAGAATAAATATTGAGGTGTAAAAAAGTATAAGATGGTTTTAAAACACAAGACTTCAGTGCAAATAGAGTGAATACGTCTGAATAATCGCATACAATATTGAATTATGTCGCTCAACGTCTCCGAACACTGATCAAGTTTATAGTGCGAATTCTAACTAGATAGTCTGACCCTATTAATACAACTCAATCCAATAGTCAATGACTTCATGGATTGGTGTCACGTTTTAGATTGACTGACTCCAGTTTTCTTCAAACCAACCCTTACTATAATGAACAAAGTGCATCAAGGTAGGCGTTGACTGGACTAACGTAATACGTGTTCCGACCAACTCTCGATCAATGAAGCTTTACAACCTCATCAACCAAATTCGAACCAATCCCATTTAGTTGAATGAGTAGTTACTGGTCGCAAACTAGGAAGATACGTACAAACCTAGGGATTTAGCCTACAATATTTGTAAAAGCTATAAAAAAGAAAAAAGGTTTCATGTGGTTTTTTACGCGGGCGGCGGTTCGCGGGATCGGACTTTAGCATATGTCTGTCGCAAGATACACTAACGAACTAGATCATGAATACCAGTCGTTTATCTATTATTCATAAATACACTAGGTTAAAAAAATAGTTAGGATTAATGAATAATATAAAATTAAATCAATTTCTCGCTATTACCTATCTACAAAAGCTAATGTATTAATAATACTCGAATCCATTCTAAAATTGGTTCAATCGTAAGCAAAATCTGTATGAAATTAATACTAAGTTCACTTGATAAACACAGTGTTCTTAACTGGGAACTTTAGCAGAAAGGTAGAATACTTTAAAAAAAATAGATAATAGCTTTTCAGGAAGCTGACAAACACAACAGGATAAGATCCTTTGAAAATCATCCTCAATTCCTTTTCTTTTTATTATTTACAGACTATTAACAAACATTGATATAAACATAATGACCAATATGCCACCTGCTATTCACTCTCCCTACTACTTAAACCTGAATTTCATTAGACTTAAATTTAATTAACTACTGATGACTTACTTGTGAATAACATAAACCGTTACTTGGAACTAGTTGTTGATGTTAGGACTGAGTAGAAAGCTTCAACAAACAGTTCACTTGTCATATGAATGAATCAACTAGTAGTTGGATTGCACTCATTTCTCAATGTGAATCACAAATTATGGTATTGAGATAGACTGGTTCGTACCATAAAAACTATTTTAAACATGGAGTCAGAATGTTGTGAGTGATAATTCTGATGAATTTTAATTTTATGTGTTTCATACATCTTTACGCCTGTTACCTTTGTGGTATATAGGCCGCCGACCACGAATCTCTAGTCTAAATTTTCCCGAACTGTCCTTCCTCATTGCTCTCAAGTGCCTCATGATGCAGTTTCATGATTTCAACAATGTGCCCTATCCACCTAAGGGATCTTTTCCTAATTTATTCTTCAGATGGAAGCTAATTTATTCTTTCCCACGGTAGGTTGCTGCTGGTGTCTTCACAGCGGGTTTGGAGTAGCTTGTGTAAACAACTGTTTTTTAACATTTGTACCTTTTTAGTGATGGTTGTAGTAGTTCTCCATGCTTCAACTCCGTACAAAAGAACTATCTTGACGTTCGTACTGAAAATTTTGACCTTGGTGTTGGTTGTCAGTTGTTTTGAGTTGCGTATGTTTTTCACTGATAGGAATACTGCCTATGCTTTATCCATCCATGCCCTTATATTTGCATCAGTTCCCCCTTGTCTACGTAAGGAGGAGTTTGCACATCTTTCAGAGTTTCGGCAACAAATGTGATTTGGTTGGTGTTCAGTATGTTGTATTTAATGACTGCTTGTTTTATACTTAAGCAGTAAGATAAACTTTTGACAAAATCTATTCTAATAGTATTTTTTATGTGCATTGTATCCTTTATTAATCCAATTCGTATTCCTATGATCATATGATATTCTATATTGTATTTTTTCATGACACAGTTTTTTTGTGTGGTGCATTTTTATGATTCTCTACTATTAAGAAATTACTAAGCCACGATTAAACAATTTCACATTACACTACACACCCGAGTGAACAAGGGATTTACGGAAAGAGTTGAATTTGATAGCCTACATCACAAACTGACCTTAGTTAAACAAACAGTGAAAACCAGCAGACCCTATATATTTGTTAAGTGTTTATCTATGGATATCACCAGAGATCGAACCCAGGATTTGTAGGTCTCACGGAGAGCTCTGTATGAGTTTGATCACTATTGGGGTTTTGGTTATGTACAACTGAGAAAACCAATATCAGGACGAAACAGCTGTCCAGCCATTCTTGGTTTAAAAGGTTGTCTATCTAAGGTAATGAATGTAAACCATAAGATTACATATATTCCAAAATACGTATGTGTATAAATGGGTGAATATGTGGGTTCAGAGCTCATGAGAAGCATTAGTTCCTCCAAAACTGTAAATATATCAACCAGTATGGAACGAAGGTCCATAAGGTATGTTCTCGACCAAATAACATTAAAATAGAGTAAAGTAGTTGTCATACAAACTATTGGCTACATTGTAAATCAGTCAACAAAATGTAACGAGTGATAGGAATTAGATAGATATGATGACAGTTATTACTCAGTGGTAAATTAAGGTAAATAAGTAAGCAATATTTTCAGAAATAAAAGCCTTAAAAACTAACGAAAACACTTGTTACCTTATCTCCATAAACTGGACGGTGTAGAATACCATTATAATTAGTTTTATCCGATCGATTAGGGTGATTAACTCTCATAGGGGAATACAACGGTTGTGTGGATTGTAAGTTTGGATTGGAAGGCAAAAATGATGAGTTTAGAGTAACGTTAACTTTAGGACCCGGAAATAATGATGATGAAGAATCAGGTACAAGAAATGATTTTAAAAATTCCGGAGGTATATTTGGAGGGAGTGGTGGTGGTATTAATTGAAGAGGAGGTGGAAAATTAGGGCGAAGCACCGATTCTGATGGCATATATTCTGGTTTATGCAATCCCATCATGGTATTACGATCATTGTGTGTAGACAACGATGAGGACGAAGACGACGAGACAGGATTGTGTAGATCGCCATTAAACTAGAAAAAAAATGATTGAAAGTGATAAAGGGCCAAGAAAACTTGCAATTAAGGGTATTCGTATTCAAATGGGTTTTTTATCTTCTAATTGGTTTTCGCAATAATCTTTTAAACATAAGCATAGTTATATATACATATATATATTCTCAAAAAGTAGAAAATCTATTAGATTGGTCATGATTAGTAAGGTTTGATAATGTTGACAATAAGATGGTCATCATCACTGACTGACTATTAAAAATGGCGCTATAATGAGAATGAGCTGGATCCAGACATTTGATCAATTAAGTTCTAAGTTATTAGTTCAAAGGTAACGCGAATGCATGTTTCAAGACTTAAAGATCTTTGATTAAGTGCTTGGATTGGATTAGTGCACGCTGATAAGGAGAGTCCCCAAAACACCGTTATCCAGTGCGTTTTACAGAGTCCAGTGGTTGTTAAGCCAAATTCAGTTAATGATATAAACTATATAATTTTATTCAATAAAATCTCACCAATTTACTTGTCTCTTATTTCAAACCAAACACGAACAGCTAACAAATGTACCAAGCGTATTATTATTAGCTTCATTCAATATTAAATTTTTGGTACAATATAGGATTCTCAGCGCAAAGTATATCTACCAATGGTTATGTTGCAGTGAATGGATAAAAAAGGGTTTGTAAAGAATAAACAACTTCTTTTCATAAAATCTTGGAACATATTTACACCTCAGTGGATAACAAGTTGGGTGTTGCAAGCGAAAAATACTAGTTTCAACTCTCAGTGTGAATATAAATTCACGGTGGTGCATACAAACAACTTACAAATAGATTTGTAAATAATAATAATAACAACAGATTCACACTTACGAGTTTGAAAGGGAAAGAACCGAAATTTTTATTCAGCATTGAATCTGATGATAAGGAACAAGAAAGATTGGAACTTATGGAATTTGACTTGGAATTATGCAGAGTAGATGATTCTAATGTACCGATAGATGATTGAGGTATAGAACTTAAATGATGATGACGTTGTATGATTGGATTAGGTGGCATATTGAAATGTTGGGCATTTCTATTATAACTGTCAGACAGACAATTGATATTTGTTGTAGATTGTAATGAACTGACTAATGAACTTGGTACAGTTGAATTATTATTGCGATCACTACCATTATTGATCATTATACCTTGAGAAGATAATTTCAGTTTACCCAGTGTTGAATTTGATGTTACGAATTCACGATCAGCGTAAGCTGCAGCTAATACAGCCTGAGATCGATCAGTTTGTAGTTGACTAATTGACAATGATTCTGCATCTACAGTATAAAAAAAGAGAAAAAATACAGGTTGTATAGATATACAGAAAATGTGTTAAATCCGTTGGAAGTGAGACTTCTACACTATTGGATACCTGCTCAATGATATAGAAAGTAGACGTACGCGCGCCAGACCAGAGGTCCTGAGTTCGATTCCCAGTTGCGGAGTCGTGGATGCGCACCGCTGAGGAGTCTCACACAAGGGCGAAACGGTTATCCAATGCTTCCACGGTTGCATAGCTTGGATCGGTTCATGATTTCACTAAAATTCAGAAATCTCCACAACGCCATATTGATAAATAAATAACTACAATAAGGAATCATGTAAATCAATAAATGCAAATGTAAATTATAAACTCAATCGTACGACTAGTATTTGAGTTAAGATTACAAGTGTTTAATCACTGACTAGTGATTAATATCATGTTGCCTAATCGTTAACATAGATCGAATTCTGTGGATCAGGCTGAGGTGTGACCACTAGTCAAAATAACCCAATATTACGTGGACTTTGTTTTGGTGTTAGGTAGTTGGAAGTAGTCAACAGAACAAACCGTAGAATTAGAATTCATCCTAGCTGGCACTTGTCGATAAAACGAACCTGTGATGTTGACAGTTAGAACCTTACAGAAAACGTCAGCTATCTAAATATCACAGGTAGACCTTGTTAACAAGTGCCAACTAGCACGAAACATTTCGGTCCAGGGTTTCACGACAATCACTTCTAAATATATAACGTTTGATTCGAGTTCTTATAATTCTAATATAATACAATAGTGACTGGTGTGAAGTTCAACTAACTTGAAAGTAGGATGGAGCTATTTTCAATACAGAATAGATTGTAGTTAAAAATACGGATCATTGATCTTCAATTCAATAGTTTGGATGGTATTATAGACGTGATGAAAAGACCACTTTATAACTGTCAGTTCTTCATAACCATTCTTAGTTATATTAAAACTAGTCACTTATTGTTTCGGAGTAAATAGACTAAGTCCTTTTATCAATCACCGAAAATATTTGATACTTCAACATTGAATATTCAAAAAAAAAAATTCTTACACTCTCTTCCTACGTTCCATTCACACACTCACTTCTAACAGCCATGCACATACACACATATATATATGAAAATAAGTGAAAAGTCTATACAAATAGACTACTTAAAAAAGAAGAAATGCAAATGATGTTAACAAGTATTACAAACAAAATTTCAACATCTTACAGATAATAATTCATTAAATAATAATATTTTCGTGAGAGAAAAACAATTTTTTTCTCTCTAATCCAAACAACAAATAAATCAACGGTTCAGTTACACATATACACATTCTATATTAAACGAACAAATAGAATATGCTAATTTTGAATAAGAGGAAAAATGGGATAATAAATAAAATCTACAAAACAAAACATTTTGAAAGTTAAATAAAACCAAATTTTAAAGAAGAAAAAAAGAAGAAGACCACGAAAAGTGGAAACGAAACCAACTACACATTGAAATCTGCACGCGAATATATGGTGAAAAAAAAATACAGGATAAAGTCTATTCTCATTATATTTTAAACAAAACAGTATAAACTAAAAAGATATTTTTCTTTCAATGACGACAAACAAATTCCATAGAGTTTGTATGAAAGACAGTAAATTTCCGGATGAAATAATAAAGTATGTACGGTATGCAAATAACTTTATACTAATGGTGAGATAAGTTATATAATATTGGCTGACATGTTGTGTTTTTTAGGACAAACTGATAAATATTTACCCCGTTTACGTAAGTGAACATGTTGTTAAGTGGTTAATAAACTTAGTTCTCAAATGGTGTGTCGATGGTTCATTCAAATGTGAATCCACTTCGGTGTGAACAGACAAGTAAACATGCCGACTTGTATGAAAAACACTGTGGTTCAAAGCAGGGTATATAAGTTATGTATAAAAATCTCAAGTATCGAAAAATCTCTCGAATATTGAAAATATCTCTCTGGTTTAAAAGTGATGGGTTCACTGCAAATCCTGAAGGCCGTGAGTTTATTGTCTCGTCAGTTCATAAATATCCACAGTCAAAAAGTCGCGAACTTGAAATAAGACAACTGTTAAACATTTTGGTCACAGGTTTTCAACAGTCTTCCTATCGATGTCAGCAGATTAAGGAAACTCTTTTCAAATTAAACATGACTCAACAAGATACCAAACGGATAACCGTATATTTAAACCAAATATAAAATATACAACTGAAGGTTAAGTAGATCTAACACTTTTCGCTGTGTAATCTGATCTAAACTTCGTCAACGAATTAAGACAAAGTTACCAATCACTGACATCATTACAAAGTAATTTCATAACTAATTTCTCTTCATGAATACTTGGCAGCCGATTTCTGTGAAACTGTCCATTCAAATATTGACAAATGGGTATAAAGATAGATCACGCTTTCAAATAACTTTAAGATCTTAATTAGTTAAGCCAATCAAGAAAGAGAGAGAAACAGTAGAGATTGATAAATTACTTATTACGCTAAGACAAGTACTTGAGACATGCGATTTAGAATCCTTGAATTACAGCTGATGCCACTTACTGATGAAAATCTTGACAGTTACTCCTAATTCTAATGTGCAACAAAAATATCTAACTCTATTTCAAGAAATGAGTTGTGATCTTGAAGCGGTTAGCGCATTCATCATTGGCGCAACGGTACAGCTCAGCTTTGTCGATGGATATTCATATAATCAGTGTATATGCTTGAAAACATGTTGGAATAGTTTATAGATTATGTCTAAAAAATAGTAATAAATATTATTATCGGCTATATATTATTATGGCAAGCCTTACAAATTTATTGTTTTCAACATTATGTAGTACTGTGGTAAACGAGAACTCAGAAGGGGAAGACCAATTTCTTGTTTAGCGCACAATCACACGGTGCTTTACCGAAAACGTGAAAGTCATACATCGTTTGCACATCTTTCAGTTGTCTTTTACATCCTTCATGATTCTTTCAATTTTGTTTTTGTTACAATTCCTTTCTGTTCTCTTCAATCGGATCTTCTTTTGATAAGCATTACACTTCTGCTTGATGATATATACTACTTACATAAGTAGCATACACCGCAGTACTACTAGTATACTGGCAATCATTGTTAATCTTCTCTCCAAAGAAACTCTTTTATGTATGTGTATTTACTTACATAAGACAATAAATTTCTATTGTTGGACTGGAATTTTCATTCACCGAAAGCTTAACAACAAACAGCAAATATTTATTATTTAGAAATTTCCACATATACACATACCCAGACGCAGAACTCTAAAGAGATGACGCACATAGTGATAAATCTTACAGTCAATTATAATTTATAATAAGCAACAACACATTAAATCTGGAATTCAATACAAGTGGGTTATTAAAATTGTGAAAACAAACAAGTACACATATATACATACTAATTTCATTCGTTTCAGGGTACAAAACAAAAACAAAACATATAGGAAACTGTTGCAACATGATAAAGAGAAGAGAATGTGAAGCAGAGAGAGAAAGAGATATGAGAGAGGAAGGAGAAGACATCAGCAGAGAATACAAAAAAAATTTACAATAAGACGATTTTACTTCATAGAAGAACGACAAACAAGCATTTGTTAAGCTTAGTCTTATACATCCTTCTCTATATATTATTCGTGAGAATAAGAAAAAAAGCACAAGATATAGAAATAAGAGGAGAACAAGATGAGAAAAGTAGAGAGTCATGAATGATAAATGAGAAGGTAAGCAAGGAGAAAACAAAGAAGGATGTCCATAATATTTTTTTCACCAGAGATTAGTGAAGAAGTTGAAAAAAATCAGAGTAATGAAATGAACATAGTGGGAAAATTTTGTCAGGAGTTATTCTTTTTAAAGACAAGATAAGTCATCCGAAAGCGAATCGACTTAGTGGTTACAATGACAAAATGATCACGGAGCTTTCTGAGATAATTTACTTAATCTGGGTATGAATTGTGAGTTGTATCCAACCATGTATACTTAGTTTTATGATTTGTTCAGTTCAGCGATAGAGTGTTGTAAAAAAAAATGTAACGATATCACCCTAAGCACAATATAACAGTAAAACAACTGCTATTAGCAATCTCAAGTTCAATTAGGATACTTTTAAAAATCAAGAACTATAAAACAGCTCTTTTTCTTTCAAACATATGGAATTCCTCAGCAGTGAATAATCATAACCCTGTCAGATATCACAGCGAAAAATTAACTATTACAATTATTGGGTTGCAGTCCAATAGTACATATTCCCACACTTTGATAAGTGTGAGATATAGTGCAACGATCATTCAATCCTCTTGATGACAACTATTTCAATACCGATACGCCTGAACTGTACTTTAAAAATATCTTGAACTAAATCACTAGTGAGTTAACTGTAGTAATTTACTTGAAGCGATTTCGTAGAAATTTGTAAATTTTGTATAACATGAATTAATATCAGTTAAGGTATCATTGTTTTAAAAATAAACTTAATATTCACAATCGAGATAGATTATAACAATGTACTTGTTCAACCTTTATATAGTATCAACAATGACATACACTAAAATGGATAGTAATGTATAAAGTATTCATAATAAATGAAGTAAAAAACAAAACAAAAACAAATTAACAATACTATAATTAGTAATGATAAGTTGATATATTTCAAGTTTATACGTTTAACACTTTACATATCTAATAATATTATGATAATACAGTACTGAACAATACAAAATCTTATTTTTCTACATTTAAACTACACTATCGTTAATTTTACTACTTTAAATGATTGGATTTTTGTGAATTCATTAAATGTAGATAAGGAAATGTCTAATGTATGTATATTGCTTTGTTTGTGTGAGAGTAACCACACGTTTTTTCAATGTTTAATAAGTGTAATATCTAGTATGTTTAAATATTTTTTTGTTCATTTAGTGGGTGAATAATGAAGAAAAGAAACATGATTTTCATTGAGAATTTCATTTTAATCACCAATATACAGCTTCTACGAACACGTTACTATAGAACATTTCAACTTACGGGATAAAAAAGTGGAAATTCGAGCTTCAGTCACTGAAGTCACTAACTTCTGGTTTAAGCCATGTCGGTAGATGTAGACTACATGGCTGGGGCTATCTTACCAGTGGTAAGAGACTCTGGGTAGAAATGACTTAAAACCGATCACAACAGCGTAAGTGTATATACTCTTTGTCTTTATAGCTTTCTTTCTACGAATTGCTTAATTCTCCCTGTTTCATATCCTTGGATGCATTTTTTTATGTTACTACCATTCATATAACTGCCTCTATGAATTTGGTTTTTATCTTGTTGTGCTAATGAGGTACGGCAACCTGAACCGTTGCACATATGTACCTGGTCCTGCGCTGTAGGTGACTGACTGATAGCAGTTTTATCCATCCATTTAAGTTTGAACTCATTAATTCAAGAGCCCAAATGCCTTGGAACGGTCGGGGGTAAGAGAGTTCGCTCTCCCTCTCGAAATGCTCTAATGTAGTCAGGTGTATACAAGGAATTCCTATTCCTTGCCTTCTGGTGGCGGGGTTGTTGTTCACGAAATTGAGGGGATGAAAAGCGAATGTCCGGCGCTTTAACCGGGTTGGTGGACAAAGAGAATCTACATAGAAGAGTTGGAAAACCCTGATTCCAAAGCAATGGTGCACATGGGCTCCAGGATCCTGAGGGAACAAATGGCGTACGAACCAATTATTGGTCACTGGTTACCATGAAACTGCATCGCCTGACGTTGTTCCACTGCTTTATGGATTAGACCTCTAGGTCAAAAGCTCGGAGAGGTGCCTTCTAAAAATATCACTTAATTTGTTTTAGGAACCCGTACTGTATTCCAGCCCTCACACAACTCGAATGATTTGTGTGGCGCATTTCTATTTGACGCTGGTATATAACTGTGTTAATATCTAGCTTCAATTAATTCACTACATTGTGCAACCCTCATCCTTTGCCCAATTTCGTCGATGCTTACTATTGAGGAGACCAGTACTAGGACGAAACAGCCTTCTATTTCTTCCGATTTTTTAATAGTGGTCTAGCTAAGATCAGTTCATACTTTAAAGGTTATAAAATGTTTATTCATTGATATTTTCCTATTCTCACACCTATTATACAGAGATATTGTTTAAAATAAGGTCATCTGCTTCATCGAACAGCATCTGCAGTCATTTAATCAAGCCAACAATGAATTATCGGTTGAAGTTATTGCTACAACTACAAACATTATGAACACTTTTTTTAAGAAGAAATAAACATCTTTGATATCTCCTATAAAAAATAATCTCCTATTCAATTTAGAGTTAATGGTTCAGTCATCAGGTAACTTCTTCAAGTGACAATTCTGAGAGATATTACAGAGTGTACTAAATGATTTAATTGAAAATAGACTTACAAATAGTAAAATAATAACTTCAGAACAATGCATGTCATATTAATTGATCATGTTTAACACAGAGATCAATAGCATAAGCTACATAAGATAAGAAACGAACACATTTTGTTTCATTATCTTTCATTGGTATTTATTTTATATGGACGATAAATTATTATTATAACTGATGCACATATATACAACTGAAATACAGTCATTTATCATTTGATATAAAGGGTCTATGTAAAAATCAGTGTTCACATTCGTTATACACATAAGCAGCATTATTATGCCTTGATTAAGTGTGTCACATAAAAGAACTTACATTTAAAAAAAGAATCCACTACAATTGTATACAAATAATAAGCATCAAACAAATGTCACGGAATTTCAGTTAAACTAAATTATGATAATATTTTAGAACCAATACATAAATGAACAAACAGAGTAACTAAGTCAGTCAGTAAGTGTCATAAATTGAACTAAAACAGAACGAATGTATAAAATAATATTAAATGCATATGTCTTATTGATGAATAATGTGAACGATCGATGCTAATAGATTCGTGCATCGCCTTCATCAACTAAAAACAATCTATTGAGAAATGACATTTTCAATATACTAGGGGAATGGTTTTAGGCTGTTTCCTTTAAGCTTTATAGTGTCTGAGATCTAGTTGCCAAGTGTAATGCGATTAGCAAATATAACAAGGTTGAATGTTTAAAAAAAAGTGAATATATTTTAAAATTACATAACGGTGTTTAATTACAATTATCCTTAAAAGTATTATCACTATATCATATTATGCATAAATAGCGCCTACGAGATGCATATCACACTGTATTATAAATGTCATACTGTTTTTTACGATAGTTTCTAACAAAAAAAATGCAACTCATTTATTAAATGAAGGTTTCATGCATTAGACTCTGTGTTAGACTATTTCAAGTATAAAAGTCAGTGATTTGCTATTCGACAGTCTAAGTTGAAACACGCGAGAAGAGGCTAAAGCCTGAAGAGATTACTGGTTGAAAGCTGAATGCTTTAATCACGGAACCAATACTCTGTAACCATCCCTCACAATCCATGAGACATTTCTACACTAGGCTTTGAAGGTTTATTGGATAAAAATGACTCTGTGTCTAAACAGTTTGGAAAATTGATAATGTCAAGAACTTGCACACAATAAATAAGATGTATCTCAGATAAACCTCTGGAAAATGATTATTAGAAAATCCAAAATCTATTATTTTTCAATAAAACGTAAAACACATCACGAAGGAATTTACTCATTAGATATGAGAATACTTTATGCTCAGGTGAAATAAAACACACAAAAAAAACAAACGAAAACAGTACTATAACATGAAGTCTAAACAGATTGGTAAAGTCGACAAACAACAAGGGAAAGTATACTTTAAAAAAACACGATCGAACCAAAACAAACAAAAAATACCTAAAAAGTGAAGATAGAAAAATGCGTTTAAAAAAGTAGGAATCTAGTTTTTATGTATGCAAAGAATATTATCAAATTGTCCTAACAAGTAACTATGTAAATGCAAAGCAAAATTATGGTTAATAATAATAATAATAACTTACTTGGTGGGATAAGACGGTTTATAGACGAACTAGATGTGGTCTGTGAAGATTGTGGAACAGAACTAGGGGCTAGTGGGGGACGATTAGCACCAAGCATCATCATATTGCTATAAGGATATAATTTGTTTTGAATGCTGGATAAATTGACTTGTTGTCCACAATGAGATAACCTTAAAATATATGCACAAACATGAAAGAAAAACACAATTATTCGAAATCATTACAGGTATTTTGGAAATAAATAATAATTTATTGTACATTTATCATCGTTTTATAGTTTTTTTTTCAGTGTAACAAAACGTCTATCCATGAACTCTCGGTGTGTGGTTATTTAGACTAACAGATATATTAACTGACAGACAACTACACAGATTCAAGTTGCCATATAGAGCAGCAAGATAGACAAAACACCAGCGAGAAAACGGTAAGATTATATATATATATATATATATATATATATATATATATATATTGGTTGTCTGAATCTTCACAGTGATGTGAAGGACTGCAAATGAACAGTTGCTTTTGTGAGATATGTGCAACTTGTGCAAAATGCCTCGATATTGCCATTAAACCACGAGCATTTTTAGCAAAAGAGATGAATGGTTGCTAGTTGTAAAATCCAGGACGCGTGTTTCCTCTTATTTGGGGCTCTAGTAAGAAAATATATTCAGACGACGAGTCCCGAATCGGTCAAAATATACGTCCTGGATTCCACCGCCAACCACTATCTATCTCTGCTTGAAATGGTCCGTCTTATTTAGCTATGACTTTGTAATTTGTAATTTAATTCGAATTCAGGTGACTATGCTTCCCAGATGTAAGGTATAATAATGGATTGCATGGCAACGCATATTAACTGTATGAAAATTGCTCTAGTCCTGTTGGATGCTAAATCTAAAACAAGTTTCTATATTCATGTCAAGCTTTAATTGATACACCAAATAACTATGACTAGTCCTGTAAATGTATGTCTAAATCACAATCATTTTGAACACAATAAATTTTACAGAAAACAAATAAGCGTAGATAAAATAATCATTGTGAATAACTACTACCGATAAGTATATTCACTACAATATGTTTTGTCAGTGGATAAAAATGTTAAAATAAAAATTCATTAGTTTAGCTGTAAAGATTTACCAGAATTTTAAGGTAATATCTATTAATAACCATTGTTGATTATGTTTCCTGGCTTGAAAATCTTCGATAAAGTGTATTTATAACACAACACATAATCGATCTCAGGGTTATCATATCTCGCAATGATCAAAATACTTATATACCACGGAATTATCATTTCATAGTTCACAACTGTTAAATCTTGTAACCTTTGTTTTTGTTAGATTAATTCAATATGGTAAAACTGTTTACCTATTCATTCACTATCAGTATTAAAATGAACTCACAACGACTCGACGTGGTGGATCCCAGTTTTCTTTAAATACACTCTTGTGCTAGACAATAAGAAGAATTTGAGCAAAGGGTGGCTAGTTACTTATAACACACGTGCTAGAACATTCAAGTCAACAGAGACTCATAAACTCTACTTATAAGTATCACTAACTAATTGGTGATAATGAAGTTTTTTTAAATGTTGTCCTATAAAACTGATATCACCGGGCTTTTATCGGTTTTCTCTTCTCTCTCAATAACTATTAGTTTTTATTGACACAGCGCAACGCTATTGTTCACTGTGTGCAACAACCTTTTTCCATTATAGTCGCCCAATATAATCCTGCTCAATAATTAATTACGTCATAAAGAAGAAGAATAAGAATAAAGATAATAACAATAGTAATATCAACGACAATAAGGAAAACAATGATATGGATGAATGGTAATAATAAAATTATTCATCACGTAATTTTCTTCTTTACTTCCGCCAATACATATGCGAAATATCAACAGTAGAAAACGGTAGAAGTAGTGACACAGAGAGAAAGGGTGTGAGGGGTTGTAATATCAACAGTAATAGGGTAAAATAGATTGAAATGTCCGCTTAAGCAGAGATACATGGATATGTACACATAAAACAAAATCAGTTTATCAGAGTTATATTGGCAGTTGTAGTGACAACAGCAATGATAATATAAAATGATGTGTAAACTATAGTTATACTTGTAAATTGCATTATACGACATTACCAAAGCTACTGCTAATGATAATAAGAATAACGGTAATAGCTAAACTATACGTTTATGGTTATAAAAAATGTTATCGAGAGATAAGTTTGTTCTCAAGAGACTGGAGTACGAAGCTATAAAAACAAAAAAAACCAGTGAAGTCGTACGTCAGGCGAAAACAGGGTGTTTGTATGTGTATGATTTAGGTAGTCATCTAAATGGTAGGTCTTTAACAAAATGAAAAGACTATAAAATGTCAATGTCTCGATAAATTTGACAATAATAGGAAAGAAAAGGAAATAAATTGGGAGATGGAAAAGTTATGCACGAGAACAAAAGACATAAATAAATAAAGTGAAAAGTTTAACGCTTATATTTGACAAGAAATGAATTTCTAGTTTTTTTTCTTTTCGTTCTCCAGCATAACGATTAAAGCATTTATTATTTCGATAAAAAAACTGGACCCCACTCTAATTACTTCCATTTGGTCAGTCAGACAGTCATCATCAATATAGAGTCTGGAAAGCACATATGTTAGCTCAGTTTGTCACATCATACAAACACGATGGGATAAATATAGCCAAATGAAAGGCAAAGCAATTGATATGATTTAGCAGTAATTATAATGTGAAAAACCAAACATTGAGAACATGGTTCGAAAAGACAAAGTGGAAATATATATCTGAAGGAAAGCTGGAATCCAAGACCGAAAGGAATATAAAAAGTGAGTGCATCTGCATCACTGAGACGGAAGCTGTGTCAATTCACCTGAAGTCTTCAATCACTGATTGCAATAATCACGTGCACCCGAACCAGATAGTCTGTATCTATAAAAAAAGTCGCCAGAGCTAACAGTCAATGACTTCATGAATTGACGACATATCTCAACTTGATTGCCTTTAACTTTGTTAAGCATTTTTCAAGTCAGTCTATAATGTCTATTTCTAAACATTTTAGCATTGTGTATATCACACACACATACATACAAAATATGTATGTGCATGTGAAATGTATGAAAAACACCGAAGCAAATACAGACATGCACGCATAGAAAAACACTTATCATTTAAAACAATTACAATGATCTCTCTATCTGTCTAACCGTATATACTAATCGACTGGAGAGCAAAACAACCTGTCCAACCACAATTTATATCCATGTTTAAATGTACATTAAATTGGATACCTTTTTTTGAAAAAAAAATTTGACGAACTACTTCTAATTATTACTATTTATATCAACAACAACAAAAAATCACACACCAAAATGTAATACACATGATATTTTGATAGGATATAAACAGTATCATTATTATTATTACTATTATTATTTAAATGTAATTTACAATGGGAGGAAATGTACACAAAACTATTAGTTTACAAAAAAATTTCTTATTACTTTATATCACATTTAGATAGATAATTCAATTTGTTACGTGAAACTGTGTGTATATGTGTTGTTGTTGTTTTTTTTTGGTTGTGGGAAATAAACAAATAACTGTTCGGTAAGAATAATAAAATGAAAATAACATTCTTCAGAAAGTTAATAGTAAAAAAAGAAATAGTATGTATTTAAATGGAAGAAAACCAAGTTGTTTTTTTACGAGAAGTTTATCAAAAGGTTTATGAAATTATGTTGTATCTTAATTTGATTCATCCATAGATTTCTTTCAACCTACTTCTACGACAAAAGCGAATGTCTGGCGCTTTAACCGGATTCCAAAACAATGGTGCACATAGGATCCAGTATTCTGAAGGAACAAATGGCGTATGAATCAATCGTTGGTCACCGGCTACAATGGGACTGCATCCCCTGACTTGCTCCACTGCCTTGTGGGTCAGACCTTTAAGTCAAAGGCTCGGGGAGTGGCCCCCTAAGAAAACCACCTGCTTCGGTTCGGGCACCCGGGCAGTATCACAGCCCTCACACATATCGAATGAGATTTGTGTGGCGCATATGTATTTGGTGCCTCCTTGCACCAATATTTATGTGTTGAAATAAATGCTGCTGCATTCAATCGCTCAACTACTGAAGTACCAAGATCCATGGTAAAATAAATAAATGTCACAAAACATGACCAAAGTGTTGAGTATAGAATAAATTAACTCATTCAACAGGTCCTTAGGTATGAACCACACAGTAAGTATTAAGACTAATGATATTAACCCGATTATCGAAACAAATTAGGTGGAGTGCGGTTTAAACCAGAGACTTAGTGGCTGAATTTTGAACGTCTTAACTACTAAACCGACTGCTCATTGGTATTTTATTAATCAGAAATTCAACAACCAAGCTAATATAATCCAGTAATTATTCAGAAAATATAAAACGATGGAAAAACCTATGAGTTTCTTCGCCATGGTTGAAGATAAACGAGACTTTAAAAATTTCAATGGTTAAGATCATGAGTCAGTTGAAGCTAGATCATCATGGAAAACCTAGCTTCAACTGACTCATGATCTTAACCATTGAAATTACTATAATATTCACAAAACCCATCTGAAACTTTAAAAAGTAAATAATAACCACTCATAAAAAAACATGCAAAACAATGATAATTATTATCTTATAATTTTAGGAAATAACAGAAATCTGGACGGAACGAACAAATATAAAGTCAAATTTCCATAATTAGAAGTACACAGCTAATTAAGTCACAAATACAACCATTGCTCCTTCATTCATCACATGCTTTATTGTAAAGTGTGACCAATGACAAATGTAAAAACTGTATGGGACCAGCTAATTAATTAGTCAATGGATCATTAAACATACAAGTTTCGATCATTCATAAACTATGAGAATAATGAAATGTCGAAGATTAAGTGAATCAACCAATAGTTTACTAAATTAAGTAGTATTATGTAAACCTAAAAAAAATTAAGGCCATTGGTTAACATGCTATAAAAATTAGCTGCTACATTGTATCAGTGATGGTATATAGCTAATTGTAAAGATAAATTAAAAACATTTATGTTTAAGGAAAACTAGATGAAAAATCCATAAAAAGTTAAATGTTGCAAATTAAACTGGAACAACTTACGATGTTTCTCCGAATTGTGAAGTATCAGTTGTTCGTAAATGTCCTACAGTATTTCCATTTTTAAATCGACTACAAGAATTATTATTTTGATTACCACTGTTAACCGATGTTGATATTATGGTATTGGCATGATTAGGCAAAGAAATTCGTGACACTGGTGGTGGTAATATGGAGTCAGGAACACCATCAACATTATTACTTAGAGTAGCCATAGTAAGCGCATACAATTCCATAAAACGTGGATCATTGAGTAATTGATTAGCAGTTTCTGAATCAATACCCATAAACTGTTTTAATAAATTTTGATGTGAAAGAAATGAGTTCGAGCATATTGATGATGGGACTGAAGGTGGTACTAAGTGTGCAGATGATGATGACAGAGGTCTGATCTGTGAACCACAACTTGTAGGTTCTTGTAATCCTCTTGGTGGTAGATATGAATGAGCAGGAAGAGAATCAGCTGGATTACGTAAAGAAAATGGTGTCGAATTAAAATTATGATTGGTCATTGGAGAATATTTTGAAACCGTTTCATGTATTCGTTCACAATTATGATTCGTACCAACAGTTGTAGGAAAGTATAATGCTCCTTTTAACGAATCGTTAATTGCTGAATTCCAAGATTTATTGCTACCATTGTTATCTACACCTGTGCACCGGTTTACACGTGTAGAATTGTCAAATTTGGAATATGCAAAAGATTTATCATATTCATTACGACGATGTGAATATTTATCGGATACGGTATTTACGATATCACGATGTTCTGATTTTCTGTAAGTTCGCTTTTTACCACTTGGATGTTTTGGAGATTTGGATATAATAGTAGGTTGTGACTTGGATTCTTCTGATTGAGCAGAGGAATGCATAACTTCATCAGTTAGAGCGGCTACACTAAATTGATGACAATGAGATTTACTACTATTGATTGAGTCGGATCGTTTAAGATTTTCAGATGGAACAGAAATCTTTGGCATTATTTTAACACTATCAGTATCACTACTGTTACCTACAAAAATCATATCAATAAACAGGTGAATAAATGAATAAAAAATGAATTTAGAAAAACCAAAAACTCACTACTAACTAGGAGTAATGCATTTTAATAGCTTTTAAATCACAAACTAATCTTAGTTAGACAACCGTTGAAAACCTAGAAGCACTGAATGATCATTTATCCCAGTATAGGACTCTTCAGCATTATTCGCCCACGACCCAACATCCAAGATTCCAAACCAGAAACCTCAGTATCAAGTTCAAATACTGTAAACGCTTAACTTTAATCAGTCTACAATATTGAGAGACCATCTTCCATCGCCTGCGATGGGTAACTGATTTACATCCAAGAAGGTTAAGCTTCACTAGTCACTGATTTTAGCTGAACTCCAGGAATCGCATCTCAAAGCAAGCCACTAGTGTGTCCATGACTATTATCAGTGCATAACAGAAAAAGGAAAAAAAAATATTATTATCACAAAATAAATCTACCAGTCTGAACCATTTTTTTAACATTTGGATAGTAATAGCGAGGTTTTTTTCTTAAAAATATTAATTCTTTTCAGTGAAATGTTAAGTTTCAATTTTTTGATATTCTGTAGCCTGGTAAGATCCAAATTTCTGGAGTTAGCAACCATAGTTTCCTCTTTATTCATGTATTATGTGAAATAATTATTCCCCACCACCGCAGTACTCGGCTCGTTCGTATCAATTATAATTATTAACGGTCGTAATGGCAGTGGCAAAAGATATGGATACTACCGTGAATAAGAGGATAAATTCTATAATCTAAAGAGATTTTTTACTCAAGAGAATTTATCAACTAAATTGCAATGAGAATTCATATATATAACCTATCATTCACCAGATATAAGCCTAGATTCACATATATTATGAAGTAATTATCAGAAGTGTATTTCACATTAAAAAGTACTAATGACGTTGTATAGAAGGAAAACGAAACCTTCACGATAGAACTATCCAGCCCAGAGAATACAACAACTCCAAAATACGCAATAAGCTGTAGTTACAGGATGGCTATTTTTTTATTTTATGGTAAAAAAAAACAGCATTTGACAACAGAGGAAATAGTTCTTACGGAATGACAGTAAAGTTATGACTTTTCAGAAATTTATGTGACCCATTCAGTTATGAGACGTATATTTCGCATGTAGGAATTATTAACGACGGTAGCTAGGCATTCAAATCAGAACAAATGATGAATTGGGACCTAAATCTATGATTCAATAACTCATTTAACAAGTACAAGTTAACAAATGTATTTTGAACTTAGAGAAATATCACTTTGAGCCTCTATCAGTCAATAATGAATAAAATAGAAACTGGTAGATACATGTATTACCACAAGCTGCCATACTACATCAACAACACAAGATTATTAGCAAGGAAATGTAATAACAATGATAATAAGAACGACTGAATGGATGAAAAACTATGCATAAAGCAATACTGGAACTCAAGGTCTGTAATGATTTGAAGAATAACTATATTTATCATGGATTCTCATCCATAATCAGTCAACGTTTCGACTGTTGATCGCAGTAGATTGTAATAGCTAATAAAACTGGTACTGGTCAGCCAAACAAAACTATGAAGAGCACCATTTAAAACTGTAACAATCTAATAAATGAAAGTCAATTGCTTTAAACACTAAGTCATATCTTTAATCGATATTAGGTTAATGTTATAGACTATCCCATTGTATATATTGCTAATATTTACCTATTATTTACAATATTATTCAAAGTATATAAGTTACATCGAATATTCAATAACATATTAACAACTAACTAGAAAAAAAAACATGAAGAGAAAGAAGAAATCAAAAGAGTCTATATAGTTACAATGCATACATACACACTAACACAAATATGTAAAGGGACTGAATTAAGAAACTATTTCTCAATAATTAGTCGTTTTTTCTGTTATAATTTAAACTTCTTTGTATGTACACAATAATGAAAATAAGACAAACTAAAGAGTAGAAAAAGATGTGAATAAATGGATGAATAATCGAAACAAAACATAACTTATTCAAACACTAACTAATAAATAGACGCACTGAATGAAAACAAAACACATTTCCCAAAGAAAACAATGGATAAATAAGCAAACAAATAATAATAATAATAATTGATTGATTGATTGATTATATTGTGTTTGTTTCAAACACGCACATGATCAGTCATGTACTCATGATTACCACTGAAGATAATAACAACACCAACGAGAAAAACAATAAGAAATATACAGACTCACTCACATACATACACACACCCAGACAAATCATAATACTTTGTACTTAAATGATGAAGATGGTTATAATCATAATAATGAATGATATGGAGAACCATGATTGTTGTTGTTAGCGATGATGAGATATATGCTTTTGAGTTATTTTTCTTTGTTGCTGTTTTATAACTTCATTCAGTATCCAGAAGCCCGCTTGAATATCTATACTACCTGTTCCTAACATCTAGATAATTCAACAAGTTGTCTGTTTTTATTTGTTTGTTTTAACACATAATTATGTCGATTAATCGCATGGCCTATTCAAGTGCGTTTATGAAGAGTTTACATTTCGCTATACAAGTTACAAAACAACACAATGAAATACATCATGGTTTCTAGCAATATGCATAAAAAATAATGCATATTATTCAGATGTCGATTCCTGAACTGTTAACATCTAACTGGTGATCACTCAATATTTGTCGTCAGGATCGATCAAGAGATAAGAAACGTAAACCTGTTGAAATACTTCGTGCTGGGAATTCTATATAGTACCAAAAATATAATATTGAACAAAGCTAATAATAATAATAATGATAAATTACCATATCATATTAATTGCTGTAGTACATTGACGTATATATGTACATAATGTAGTTCTCTTTTAAATTTCTTTTCTTTTGAAGAACTTTTTCACGTAATCTTACTTTTATCATTAACATTATTATGAAATATTTTTATTTGTTAACTACAGTTAACAACTATAAAATGTATGTGTATCCATTGTTTGTAATACAATCAAACAATCAAACGCCACATAGAAACTTAAACATATATAAATCGGCTCAAGTTGTCATATCTCATTCGCATAGTGAAGTGAAATTGTCAGGGTAAATCCTAGGGTAGTAGAAGTATTAACAGGATTAATGGGAATAGAAAAGATGAGTGTTTTAAGGTACATTTCGAGAGGAAAATATTGGTTAGTAAAATTGTTCTTTCTTTAAATGCATAGGAAATTTAAGGACTTAAGATCTAAAGGAAGAGAAAGAGTGAATGTACTCATGACACTGCGAACAATTCTTAACCATATCACTTAATCTCTAACACCATTAGTTACAATGATCAGGAGGACCCTAAATAGGTACTGCGCTACAAACTCTTGCTATTTACTATGAAATCAATATTTTAAAAAATGTGTAATTAGTTTTAGGCATAGAAACAAAATATAACTCGCAGTACTAGTTGGACTCCGAATGACACTGAGGAGATACACATATCATGTTAGAATATTGACTGTTACGCGTACAAAATTTATTAAAGTGTAAGTGACTTATTTTCTAAATAAATGTAAGAAAAAAGTGAAGTCGTTTATAAAACTATTAAGAACCGTTATAACTGATGGAACTGATAACCATTTTATAAAGAATAAACAAATATCATGGATGATGGTTGCCCTATATAGCATATCAACTGATGTCGGTAATAGTATGGATCAGTTAAAATTCAATGATGCAAGATATAAAGATATGTGGTTCCAAGGTTACAGAATGTGTAGAATAAACAAACGTCTTAAGCTAGAACAATGACAACTATCAGTGCTCACTAGTTTTCAACGATTTTTAAATTCATGACAGTTTGTGGTGAAAATTAATACTAACTTTATTATGTATTACAAACTGTTTAATTTAATATTATTGGTGATTGAAGTATATATACTGTATTCCTAACCAACGCCTACCTCAACGTTCACAAAACAAACAAGTGTTGATCTAAACCATGTTAGTAGATGTAAACTACCTTTTTGAGGTCACCGAGATAATCGAGATCAGTGATAAATTAAGGTGATATAGCTCAGATGCATTTTTTTTATTTTACCTTAGATATTGAGTTCCAGTATTTCTTCATACATTCCCTTCTAATTAGTCTTCCTGAACCATATTCTAAATGTTCAACCTTTCTCAAGGAAGGTGGTGTTTAGTTTAAAACTAATAATTATAATTGGTGAACAGATGAGTCCCTTTTACTAATCGAGGTATTCACCATAGTCAATCAATTGTTTTCCATTTTCTTCACTCCTAGTGAAATCAACTTCTACAGACAGACATAATACTTATCAGACTGTAAAAGTATTTCTCTGATCATTATGAACATTTCATTTTTTCTTTTTATTTAGTCAAAATGAACAGTTTCTGATTTAAGTTAGCGGTATTAAAAATTATATTGATAGCGATCTACCAAACAATTAACTATAATATATTAATTTTCGGTTGTATTGCAAATGTAACTGATAGTGAACTATTTTGTCAGAATTAATCTTATAAATGATGGGTAAGCTTTCTGTAGAGGTTGAAACTAAAACTGCATTGTTTCTCGAAGTAAATGATTTAATAATCTTATTAACTTATCAATCTATGCAACTTTCAAAAAACGAAACATTGAGTTTATTTGGTCAATAAACAAAATAAAGACAATTCAGTGAGGAAATTCAATGAAAAAAATTCCTTCCCTGAATTTTTCATAGCTTTTGATCCACTTCTATAGTGACTTCCTCAATATAAGTGGTAGTTGACTATCCACGATAAATTCCACAACCATTATAGTTGATAACAAGAAATTAATCATTTGTTAATAATACTTGGTTACATTCAACATATATTTGGTTACGGTAAGGAATTCATAACATAAAACACGACATATTCCAACAAATTCCTGTCTACTGACATTTCCATGTAGTATATACATTCGTTAGATGAACCTTCA